GAATATATCGGCAGTCACTTGTTGTTAGATTGGCAGTGGCCGGTTGGAAAATTTTGACATATCGCCCAACCCTATTTCAAGGCCCAATCTAGAGCCAGTTTTTGGTTTGTCCATTCTGGGCTACTGTAGAAACATGGTGGTCTAATATGGCAGCTCCCTCTGTAGATAAAACATTAATGAATACATTGAACACTTTTGAACTGATTTCCTTCAGACATTTGATAAATAAAGGTCCAGAAGGAGAGAACTCTCTATTAAGAACCTCAATGGCCCCAGGTGCACCGCTGACCTCATTCCCCCTTATTCCAACAGCCTCATCTGGCCTGAAGTCAGCTATAAGTCAGTCCTGTGTGTAGTCAGGACAGGAAGTCAGAGAAGATGGTGATGGCTACTGAAAGGCAGACTTATATCTGAGGTCAGAAGTCACACATCCGGCGTTTATAGGCCACAACACTTCTAACACATCTCTTAACACACACACACACACACACACACACACACACACTGAGGCTTTGGGTTTGTCCTTCAATCAGAAAGTAGAACGAGGTTGTGAAGGAGAAAGTGGGGTAGTGTGTGTGTGCTTGTTTGTGTTTACTGTATGTTTTTGTGTGTATTTGGCTTTACATACGTTTGGTCTAATTATTAGGGCCTTTGGTTTGGTGACCAAATTGTGTGTATAGTCAAGCAGTGAAAGTTGCATGGTCAGGCTTTTAGAGTTGTTTACAGAGTAACAGATTTCCTGATTTAAATTGTAATTAAGTTAATTTCACTCTGTAATATTTAAGGCATTTTTTGCCTTTTGTTGTTCTGCATTTAAGAAGTTAGGCTTACTATATTCAGATAATAGAAGCTGTTGATAAAACATGCTTCTACCCAGCACAGAAAGGTATCAGTTCAAGTATCTTTTGGTGTCAGTACTTAAAGTCTTCCTGGGTCTACTCAGTTACTGTACTTATCCCTGGACCCGAGTTCAGTCAGGTCCAGGGATGCAACTAACTATTATTTCTCATAATGGAAGAATCTGCTAATTATTCATTGTTTTCTCTATAAAATATCAGAAAATAGTGAAAATTCCCTTTTATTATTTGCTTTGGCCTAGCCTTTTTTAAATATCTTTTGTCTAACCAACAGTTCAAAACCCAATGATAGTAAGTGTACTGATAAAAGATAATCAATTGTTTTATGGAAAAATGTCAAGAAATTGTGAAAAAATGCACACTTTCAACAGATTCATCTTAAAATGTCTTGTCAGACCAACAGTTCACAACCCAAAGATATTCATTTTGCAAAAGAGCTGCAACTGATGATTATTTTCATTATCGATTAATCTGCCCATTATTTTCATGAATAATCAGTTAAGTGCTTAGGCTATAAAATGTTAACAATTTCCCTGAGCCCAAAGTGACGTCTTCACATTGCTTTTTTTGTTTGTCAATCTGTCTAATGGATCAGTGGATCCAAGCAGGCACAGCTCTGCAATTATTTTTACAAAAGATACTGGCTTTGCAATGTATTTAAAAAAAACTTAAATTCTGATTCGTTCTTGGTTGAGCTTTAACTATACATATTTTACCTAAATAATTGTATTACTTACCTGAGAACTTTTTTTTTCAGGTGTAAGTTCAAAATAAATGTTTAGTGGCTTTAACCAATTTTGAATATTAATCCACAAATTTACAACATATGGACAATTGACAGATTCTCATTGCAGAATCGACATAATGACTCTTATTTAATTTCATATTTCATTCATTTAGTAACAAATCATTTTTAAAATAATCTTATGTATAATATTAATGAATTGTATGTGCTGAGTCAACCCAGTCCTACACTGACTTCATGTCAAGTGACTGTGATTTGAGTGGGCTCTGTGAGTGCTGCTGCAGTGGTACAGTACTCGGCCACTTTGTACGTGTATCAGTGTTGTAAGTGTGCATAACATTTCAGTAAATGGTTCTCTGTTTAACGGGGCCAGAAGTGGCAAAAGGGACTCATAGACCCACTATTGTTCCCTAATGATCAGAAACACACACAGATAATGGATGTGTTTCTCCGTGTCCTGATGAAGTCAGCCACAGTGTGCATGAAGTCATCCTGCTCTCAGGCGCCACGCTCCCCTTGTCAGTGGATGGGAATCTAATCACTGGTTCAGGGTGCAGCGGGCAGCCTGGAGATTTTTATCTTTCTCCCTGGTTGGCTGCCTGGGTACTGGGTCTGGATTCCCTTATTATACACTGCCTCCTCCAGTTTTGTCTAAGTACTTAGTGAACAGTTCAGCATGTCTCACTGTGGTCGCTCATTTTTTCCATCCATTAATGTTGCAGTAATTGTGTTTTTCCCTGCATGTGGTCAGATAATGAACGCCTTAAAGTAGTGGCAGGTACACGGCGTCGATGAAGTGTAGGAGTTACCATGGAGTGCTAATTAGATGCTTGATCTGCTTTTTGGTCTAAATTAATATTTTTCACATTTTTATGGCACCTTTTGTTTGGTGCATCAGAACAGGATGCGTTTTGTTTTAAGCTGAGAAGCGTCATTTTGAATAACTAAATTCTAAGTGCAGGCTCATTATTTTTTAAAGACTAATTATGACATTTGCTTGTGTGGTAGTGGTGAGTGATGGCAATCAATTCATTACAGCATAATGATTAGATGAGTCTGAGTACAGGAGGGTCACAACGTGCACAGTGTTGTTCCTAAACATTCTCATGGCCGTTTCTTTTATAATAATACAAAGTCTTTTTTCTTTTACACGTCAGACTCCAGAAACGAGGATGCATCAACCAATCAGCTTGTTTTATGCACTGGGCTGTTGTCATGTTGTTGAGATTTGGGAGGTGTTGCAGGGACATTTAGCTGTCATTTTGCTAGGTTGGAATTTCTCAGATGCTCTCTTGGAGAAATTCTTAGAAACAGTCTTAGATGTTAGGAGACCAAGTAACAGCAGCGTCCGTTGGAGAGGTGTTCGAGGCACATGATAAGGATTTCTGTCTCAACGAAATGTAGCTATAAAGACAACAGCAGCCTTTCCGAAATAGATGATCAGACAAGCCCACTTGTGAGAAAGTAGGCATGATTTGAACTTCTCTCTAAGAAACTCTTTTTTCTGTCTTCACACAACTACTTTTTTTGTACAGTTTTTGTTTGCACAACTGAGTGCAGTGCTAGAGATTGAAGTTGGACTCCATTACCCTCATTTGCATGATTCATTGAGTCTCGTCCGTCTCTATGGACAAGTATAGCCATTCAGAACAGGTGAAAACACATTTAGCATAGTTATTCTGAAGCACACTGAAGCTTTTAGGGCATCCAGTCATATTCATACTACGCCCTAGGATAATCATGTACATTGAGGACAGAGTATTCTGCAGGATCACTGACACTGGTGAAATAAACTCATCAACTGACACAGAAAAATCAACCTATTTGACAAATAAGAGAATAATAGAACCACTCCAGGGCAGAAATGCCACCCCACTGTTGGAAATGTATCGACCAGAAAGGCATGGTCAATAGTGCTAAAGGGCAGACTAAGGTCAGGCAGCACTGTACTGATACACAGCACTCTCTTGACTCAGTGCCCATCGATAATACCTTAGTCTAACCAGAAGAATGGCTTAGTGCATGTACCTGCACTGAGGGGTTACAGTCAGGTCCTTTTAAATGCAAAACTGCTTCTGTAAAAACAAACCAGGAAATCAGCTAAAATGACTCAGCAGGTTAAAACAACAGCAAGAAAGGTCTAACCCAGTGGTTATCAAACTGGGGTTTGGGGACTGACAGGGGTTGGTTGTAGGGGTCCTCAGCAAAAGTAGGAATAGAATATTTTAACGAAGACATTTATAATCTTGAAACCTAAAAATAAAAAAAATAGTCAGAGAAGATTCCTTCAGACAAAATCTTCTGAAATTGGGGGTCCATAGTCTAATCTATTGTGGGGGTTGGATTCTTGACAAAAAGGTTTGCGAACCCCTTGTCTAACCTGACTTGTCTAACCTGGAAGGTGTTGATGGATACTGTTTGGAAAAGGACAGCCACTTTCAAAAAATATTCGCCATCATTGGATGAACCATCTGTCTATTACTGTCTATCATGGAACACTAAGAACTACCTTAACCCACTCACCTTGTTTCTCTCTCCCCCATACATACATGCACACCAGCAACTCTGCAATTCTGTTTTCAGAAAAGCAGGTGAGCCTCATGTGGAGGTGGCTTGTTTTCTGATTCCTGTTGAGTCTGTAGAAATGATGAAAAGTTAAACCAACGTGGAACTGAATGCTTTATCTGGTCCGTTCTTATAAAATATCCACCATGTCCAAGTAGCAGATAACACTTCTCTCTCTCCGTCTTTTCTCTCTCTCTCTCTCTCTCTAAATAAATAAATAAATAAATAAATAAATAAATAATATATACACGATCAGCCATAACATTGTGAGCACCTGGGCACCCTGGTGGTCATAATGTTCTGCAGCCCCATACCAACAAACCTTGATGCACTGTGTGTTCTGACCCCTTTCTATCAGAACCAGCATTAACTGTTTCAGCAGTTTGAGCTACAGTAGCTCGTCTGTTGGATCGGACCACACGGGTGAGCCTTCCCTCCCCACGTGAAAAAAAAACGACACAAAATTTGGACAATACTTGCTTGTTGCATGCATGGCCGATCTGGAACATCAGTATGCTGCTGAGCTGTGTGCGATTTTAGTCAGAGCCCTATGGTTGTCTGGTCCAGGCTTATAAAAACCAAGACATCACCTAGCCAAATTCTCCAGGAAGATAAAGGGTCGAAAGAACACTGTCTAAAGAACACTGTAAAGGACAGTCCTCCAGGTCCGGGGCCAAGTCTGTAATCCTTAATTGCGAAATCCGCTTCATGCTGCAAGCAATGTACCAGCCATTGAAACCTTTTGAAACAGAAAGGGCCTTGGTTTTTCTGAACACAACTCAGTAATGCTGTGCCGTTGTGTAAGCTGAAATAAAATACTTTGCTTTCAACAGAACGGCAGCAGAGGTGTAGAGAGCCAGTTTCTGAAAATCCATGGAGGGCCTCCTGTGAAGGTCAGCCTCAGAACAAACAGATATATATACATAAATAAAGATCGGAAGAGAGAATTGAAATGCACGCACACACTTGCAGATCTTACAAAGGCTCTAAATCATTGAACACGCTGACATTTTGATTCCTGCAATAGGCAAAAGAGTCCCTGCTTCCTTTTTCAGATGGAGAATTTAAGTATTCTCACAAAGATCGAAACCCCAAGGTGGGGTCATACACAGCTAACCTCACATTTGGTCTGAATGCAGAAGAGAATCCCTCTACTCATACTTTTCAAAGGTCAAGTATTTCTTTTCTGCTTCTCAAAAGGGCGACTTCACACAACAGTGCTTGACAGGAGAGATTCAACTCTGGTACCTCATTTTCCTCAAGCACCACACACACACACACACACACACACACACACACACATATCTGCACTCTCTTCACAGCGCATGTGTAAGGTCAGTATGGCTCAGACGAACAGATCTGAGCATCTTGCTGACCATCTGCATGGTTCAAGAGATGGAGGGACTGTAGGGTTGAGGTTTTCTGGCTGCTCAGCTATTTCACGCATGGCTGCCAGACAAAGGGGAGCAGGGCAGCTGGTCCACCATGTACCCTGATACCAGTGATGGTGGGCAAAATAACAGACCATATGACTAGGAATGAATCCTAATTTGGAATAGTAGGAGTCTGGTGGTGATTTTTAAGTGAAGGTACCTTTATTCATTTTAAAAAGTTGTCTGAAAATCACAAGAAGTATTTACTTTAAAATAAGACTTTGTTTGTGCACTCACCCGCTGTTAAAATAAGGTGATGCTGGAGAAATAGCTCCACATATGGAAGTGGAAGGATGGATGGCTGAAAAACAAACAAATCACTAATACCGGTATTTGTGTCATGTGTGAAACCAAAAGTAAAAAAAAGTGATTTAACATTACGTAATTTACAGTTTATTCATGTGCTTAAGGTACGTAATGTAACTTATGATTTTGTAGTAGTTTCTGTGCCTAAACCAAACGGTGACTGTTTCTCAGCATTACCTCTGCAAGCTTTGTTTCATTTAAGTAATTGAACTGTAGAAAATAACACACATATGATTGTCAAAATGAATATTTGGTTGTTGTATGTACATTCTAGGACTACTGTCTATTGTGTGGGCCTGAGCCACTGCACTGAATGAACTCCATGACAGACAGTAGTCACACAAGGCTGGAAAGAATCAATCAAAGAATTTAATAATTCAACTATAAGCAGGTGGTAATGATGGCAGACAGTTCACAACCCAACTTGGTTGATTTGCACACAGAACAATATAAAAAGCCCTGTTTGGAAATAATTCAATTGCGCCAAATCATAATAAGAGCTACATTGGCTACTGTGGGCTGGGTAACAGCAGCTAATGATTTAAGCCTCACATCCAGCACGGAAAATAAACTACATTCAGTACATGTACCATTATAACTAAAGGAGACAGAGGATCACTGTGCAAAAATAGATAATCAAATAGGTTGAACCTTTGGTTTTGACAGCACTAGTACCTACAGCGTTATATTTTAAAGTGGAAGGCCACTGATTAACTGGCAGTATTAGACAAAAAGGGACTGAGCAGAGAAAAGATGACCACAACAAATCTTGTATCCAAAGATACATTAGATGCAGTCAGACTCCAGGTTGCTCCATCATGTGTGGATTCTGGACTTGGCACCAGCCACCATGTGGCCATTACCACACAGTCACCTCCAACCACAGTGGGGAATATTCTAATTAATGAGATGTGCAGGGTGAGCTGATAACCATCATTATCATTGTTTGGCTCGACTACTGACTGCGAGACAGATTGCAGGTTCCAGGGACCAGGGAAATAGGTATTAGAACATACCAAATAATACCAAATAATACTTTTTTGATACCTCATTTTGCTGAGTATAAACAGATTTGTCATCAAAGTCGAAATCAACATAAGTTAAAGCAGCTATAATTGATATTTTTACAATAATCTATCAAATGAACATGTGAGAACAAGGGTTGTCTGGTAGTGATATACATACAGAGAGTTATCAGCTGAATCTGCAGCTCCTCTGGGCTGTACAAAGCTTTACAGTTCTGATAAAGTATGAAGAAATATATGTTACCAATTGTAAAAACTGCAAATGCTGATGATATGTCAATGTTGTGTTCTGCAGCCTCCAAAAACCCAGGTTTATGGCATAGCTACAGACTGTTAGGCTTTTTCCACACAGGGAACCGTCTCTGTTCTGGTTTGCACATCTAGTTGTGAACCATTCTGAGTATTTCAACAAAAATAAATTGGTTCAGAACCCAAGTTGGTTCCAGGCTCACACCAAAAAATAGTAGGTTTTCCTTTGGGAACTAAAGTGGGTGTGTCATATTCTACAAGTCGTTGTGCATTGTGTGATGCCCTCTGTTGATAACTAATCCGATTACAATGGTTTCATGCAAACTGGTGGAAACGCAGGCTGGTTTGTTCAATAGCACCACGGTTCCAAGAATCTTGATCAGGACCAGTTCAAGAACCAGAGCTAAGCTTGGTGGAAAAACACAGTACATAATTTCTAGTTTCCTTTATTTATAAGAGCACTGTGGAGTAGTAGTTTATTTATTTATTTTAGTTTATTTTCAACTGATGTATAATTCTGGGTCAAAATGAACAAAATAAAATAAAAATGTAGCACTAATTAGTTTTTTACACCCACAAAATGTTGTTGCTCACATTTTTCAGCCCTGAGTAGTGTCTGTAGGTATTCCTCTCAGGCAGCATAACTCAACAATCAGCAGTAAGGTGGTGTAGCCTGTATGTAGGCGGTAAAAGAAGGAGCAGCCACAGTCCGCTATGAGAAAAAGAGCTGCAGTCCACAGGTTCTTACAGCCGTACCACCTTCTACCGTGTCGTTCCTGTTGTCTGGAAAATCCCTCACACTGTGTGTTTGCTCATGACACGAAACAGCACAATTATCCTCTTGCCAAAGTTCCACTTCTCGACTTGATGTTAATCGTTTGCAGAGGTTTACAAGCAAATCACATTTGCCACATTTCCGCTTGGAGGCATCGCATCACAGAGCTGGTAATACACAGCGCTCTGTGACGCACCTTTTTACACATTTATATCTGAAATTGTAGTTTGTGGACTGAGCGTGGTAATGATGCTGTTCACACAGTGGGATGATAGAGACAGAGATAATGTGTGTGTGTGTGTGTGTGTGTATCTAGATTCCAGACACGACAGCAATGTGATCTTACTCATGAAGTTATATCAAAGAATGAGCTGCTTCTCGCTCCTAGCGTCTCTATTTCTGAATCACAGAATCAACAGGGAGGGGCACTACTGTGTGTGTGTGTGTGTGTGTGTGTGTGTGTGTGTTAACCTGACTGTCGAAAAACTGTGAATCATCAGGGGCTAGCTTTCTGCTTGATGCTAGGATTGTTGTGTGTGTGTCTGTTGTGTGTGTAGGTGTGTTTGTGTAATATGTAAGTGAGAATAATATAAACATATAGGTTGTATTCATATTAGAGCCAGTCCGATATGGGTTAGGGTTAGGTTTTTTTGGGGGGGGAATTTGCACTGACATCACTCTAAAAAGGTTCATATTTTGCACGATTATGGCCAACATGTTAATCATGATTTTTTAATCAATATTGAGATCACAGTTATTTCAGCATTAGCTGACACACTTAGCACTTCCTGTGACTAGCTTACTTCAGAAATTGCCAGTGAAATGCTTTTAATGTCAATCTGCAGCAGTAGGAAATGTTCATTTTTTGTTATCAGTAACTTAATACAGCATTTTTCCGGTATCCAGGCTGCAGCTGCAGGATGTGCAGCGACATGATGGTTCTTCAAAAGTGAAACCAGAACATCTGGATCAGCTGTAGTGGCTGGCTGTTAGTTTAGCAGTTACTGCAGCAGAGTTTTCTATGAGCCGAGCACACATTTTAAACATTAGTATTGTCACAATCTCGTTCATTTAATTGTTGGTAGCCGAAATCATGATCTACTTTAAAATGTTAAATCATTTAACATATAGGCTACATTGTCAACCTATTCTAGAACTGAACACTGAGAAAATAATGAATAAATTAAAATCAAATAATAGCTAAACTTAAGTACTGTAAACACCTGTAAACAACCTTTTTGCATTATAGACCAGAAATATTGGTACATATTGGATGATATATGGCGTTACCAATACGATACAGATATGGCTGCGAGTTTCAAGCTTGGTTCATCCATGGCATCCCTATAATTACCATCAGGCACAGGCCAGGTGGGGGAATAGAAAATGCCTAAAACTGCCTAGTTTGACAGTTTGTCTATTTTACTGTAAATGGGACCATCATTTACTAAATGAACATCGTGCTGTATGGAAGTAGACTGAAGTAGACTGAGACCATAAACTCATTAGGAAACTGTTTACTGAGATAATAATCTACTGAGAAATCAACTCATTTCTCCATTAGACTGCATGGTATCGTTCTTTCATTGCAGCCAATGGAGCTCCCCCTGCTGGCCATTACATAGAATGTAGGTTTAAGATACTTCCGCGGTGGCTTCACTTCACAGACCCAGAAGCTCTGTCCATTATATATACGGTCAATGCACAAAGTAAACTCTATATAAGTTGGTTAACACAGCCAAACATTTGACTACTTGTGAAAATTGGACACATTTACTTTGTAAGGAAAAGCTGTGCTCTTTAACTATAGAGTACAGACTGTTGTCCTCTTATTGTGCACTGTCCAAATGCTCTAAAAAATAACAACAAGGAGCAATGTCTTGTATTACTGAAATACATTTTATTCTTGGTAATTTCCTGTCTAACGTGACTTTTCCAAGTCACCTGGTTTACACGCACCTACATCTACATGCACACAATCTATCATCCTCTCACAGCTTACTTTGTGAAATAATCTGTGTCCTTTAAGGTTGACCTTCAACCACCCAGCCTTTACATATATTTTCCCCTCTATTTAAATGATATTGTGCTGACCTAGTGTGTGT